TGGATGTACTTTTACAAGGTCCATAAGAGTGGTTTAACAAACTACAGCCCAACACTATAAAGTACAAATCCTTTTAGTCCTACTTCTAGCCCCCACCACCACCACCACACACACTTTAATTATGTGTGTGTAACTTGTAGAGACTTGCAAGAGATAAACAACCCACCTCATTTAAGATTTCATCACTTATTCTTAACCTCATATTTTGTTGTAACGCGGCTGCAAGAAGACCGTGTCACACAACACTCTGGTATCAGTGAAGAAGCCACCAGCTCCATGATTTACAACATATTTTCACTTCAATACAAAAAACAAGGCATTTATTTCTCACCACTCCAACACCTTATTTGGGGGTGAACTTGTACACAGCTGAATTACCACATTTTTTTTTTCAAATATTTGTTACAACCTCAGCATAAACACTGAGCTGAAAATATTAAGAAGTTAAAGTAACTGTCACAACAAACTGGGTAAAAACACTGTGAACCTTTATTGACAGCAGCATGTATGCTTTTGTATACATCTGTGATTACTGTGAACATGTGCTGAAGCAGATTTTAAAAAAAGAAAGAGGTCTAGTTGTGAGTGCCTAGCATTCATAAAAACAAAATATTACACTAAAAACAACGTATAAAAACAGGTTCATAAACAAAGGCCATCGCATATGATTAGATGATGTAAAAACAACAACAAACAGAAAGGGAAACGGTTAAGATAATCCTTCATTTACTAGGCACTTAAACGAGCACTGGTGACCTGCAGTCACTCTTTTGACCTCCTTTGTACTTTGTGTTAGCATACCCAGCCGGTTACCAGACTGAACGCACACCGAGATGGACCGTGAGAATGAATACATAGCATAAACCACCTCACAGAAGTACCTTTCTATTACAGTTAAAAAAACAAAAGACAGGACCTTCATCATAAATAACCAGGCACCTGCATGTCCTTCTACACAACATGATATATATATTTATATATATATATATATAAAAAAAAGGGATAATCTTTTAAGTGAAGTTAGTGCAAGGCTTCTAACATTATGTACACACTGCCTGGTGTGATGGTCCGCTTCGCAGCATTGCACAAAACAGGTGGACCAGGAGAGAAACTGTGATTGGACCTCTGGAGAGAATAAAGCAGGTCAAACGTGGCGGCGGGTTCAATTCCTGCAGCTGAGAGGACACGATGGTGTTCGTGTGGTAAAAATGAGTACTCCTACCCATCAGCAGTGACCTGTAAGCACCTCAAAGTTAACAGACAGAGCACACTTATAAAAATGTATAAAGCCCACACTGGCACGATCTCATCCGTTCAACATGTTCCTTGGCTATAAAACATGCTTCTTTGTTGTCGTTGTTCCTGAAGTGTTACCGTAACACGGATCACTTGTTTTCCACAAACCTTCATGCAAAACCCCATTCCTTATCTGTCTGTAGGGACAACAGTTCAGTGCATGTACACACACACACTCACTCAAACACACAAAAGCAAACAATTTGGGGGATTGTACCCGGTGGAGAGAGAGCAGACACCTGAGGGGTCAGGGTGGCGGACTCGGGATGCAGCTCGATGTAATTGCGAGGGGAACAGACCAGTTTAAACGACCTCACTCGACACACTAGTAAAGTGGCTGATTATCTACAGAGGCTTCATCGCTCCACTGCAGTCCCACTGTGCCCCACTTTCTCTTCAATATCCTCTTTAGATTAATGAGAAAACTCCAAGGAGTTAAGTGGTGACGTGACATTTCAGGCAAATCCTTTGCACTAATCAGAGCCAGCGAATGCACCATCATTCCTACAAAGTTAGAGTGTGTGAGTGTGTGTGAGTGTGTGTGAAGGGGCAGAGGCACTGAGGTCGTGAGGCTCCGTGAAACGAAAACGGCCGCAGACGGGCGGGGTCACAGTGGAACCACAGGCGGAGGCTGGAGGTGGGGGAGGATCGTCCATACTGCGGTGAAGGCAAACTCCTGGCACTGCTCGCACGAAGCCATTCATACAAAGGTGAGTGCAGTTCCACTCATATAGCAAACAAGTCTACACTCAAAAAATTGTTGAAATGCATAAAAAATTAAAGTTTTTTTTTTTCTTTTTTCTTCCCCCTCAACTCTCTTCCCTGAAATGTGTGAGACTAAATAATCCAGCATTCCTGTCTGTATTTTAGGGGAAGGGGGGCGGGGCAGAGTTGGTAACAGTTCCTTTCTGCTGTGAGATGATTGGTCACTTCAGACTTTGCTGTCAGAGGGCAGCTCTCCCAGGGCGTGGACGATGTCGGTGAACGAGGGGCGCTCTTTGAGGCTCAGCGCCCAGCAGCGGACCATCAGCTTGTAGATTTTAGAGGGGCATCCGTCCGGAAGGGGTAGCTTCAGCTTTCCTGCCTGGAGACCTGCAGAAAAATGGGATGAGATGCCTTTTAAAGAGCGATTCCCTCTTCCTGGGGTAAAGACAGTAATGTGTTGCAGCGTCAAACTCACCTTCTAACACTTCGTCGTCGCTCAGTTTGGTGTATGGCATTTCCCCATGACTGAATACTTCCCACATCAACACTCCGAAGGCCCACACGTCCGACTTGGTGGAGAAGTCATCTTCAAACACAGACTCTGTTGGGAGCCAGCGCAGCGGGATCCACGCCTGCCTGTAGTGGTAGTACTCACTACACATGTGAACACCAGAGAAATAACAAAGGGATGGAAATATTAACCAGATGATTCTACTCAGAGGAGACTTTATTGTATGTTTTTGAACAGACCTGTTGTAAACGTCCTTGCTGAGGCTGAGTGACGACACTTTGACACGCCTCTGACTGCTGATCAGGCAGTTTCGGGCGGCGAGGTCTTTGTGAACGAAGCGGTGATTGGAAAGATGCTCCATGCCCTGAGCCACCTGAGTGCAGATGGAAACCTGGAGGGGGAAAAGGTAGAGAGACTTTGATAAGAACATAGAAGTTCAAAGTGAGCAAAGTTCAACAATTCCTCAATGGTTACTGTAACTTAACAGTGATGAGTTCAGAAGGTTAAAGGTCAAGCTACAATGGCCTGTTTCAGACAGGATGGCCTACACGATACTGCAGCAGAGCCCAAAGACAAAAATACAGAGCTCTGTATAACAGTTTATTTCCGTTTCCGTTTATTTCAATGGCTTCTGGTGTGCAGAAGGCTGTTATACGTCACTCGTGCTGCACAGATCACTGCTTACTTTGGTCTTGGTGCTGATAGGCTGACTCTTGACTTTGTCATCTTTGCTTTTGGAAATTCTCAGGAACTGCTTTAGATCTCCCTGGCATGAGAAAAGCAGACATAGAGAGCAGTGCGTCAGGTACAAAACAAAATTTCTGCACTTCTTCTGCGTTTGTGCCTGTATGTGTGTTAGTGTGAGATTACCAGGTCATAGTACTCTAGGATCATGTAGTGAGGATCCGCCTCCCTGCAGAGGCCCAGCAGGCGGACCACGTTGGGGTGGCTTAGCTTGGCGAACATTTCTGCTTCCCGGCGGAAGTCGAGTTGGAGCTGCTCATCTCTGGTCTGCAGGCTCTTCACAAGAACCACCGTCTCCTCCTCGCCCTCTTCGATTCCCTTAGCTTTGGATAGCAGCACCTCCCCAAACTCCCCTTTTCCTGAGCAAACATTCACGTGACACACAGCAAAATGTGAGCGCAGAAGCGCAATACACTTTTTTCACAGAAAACAGAGATGCATAGACTACTCTACCTAAAGTCGTGATGGTCTGTAGGTTTGTCCGGGGAAAGTGGAGCTTATCGTTGTTGACGTGGCTATGGCGTTTCTCTGTGGTTGCGATGGTACCCATGTTGGTGAGCGCCACCTCTTCCTGGATCTCAGCAGTGGTGTGGCCGTTCTGTTGGACTGCTCCGCCTGATGAACACAACAAATATTCTACTGGGTCAAAGGTCACAGACGTAGTACAAATATGAATAAATCTGATCGATTTAGAACATGTTTTATATAATATGTTAAAATGCATTGTATATACAGAATATAGAACGGAGGAAACAAACTGATACTTGTTGCTCTGCTCAAAACTTTTTTTTGCCTTTTTACATGTTAAGTGTAATCAATAAAATGAACACAGGGTGGCAGCAAAGATCTTGAAATAGCATACAGGATTATTGTGTAACTGTAACCACAACTTTATCAGCAATCATACCATTAAGGCACTCCATCTCGGGCTCCTCTCCATCCTGGCCCTTCTGCATTCTTTGGGCGTTGCGTCTCTTCTTGCAGTAGAACATGAGTCCCAGGACCACAATGATGTAGGCCACAGCCGCTCCCACCGACAGACCGATTGTTTGGATCATCTTGTAAGGAGCCTTTTCATCCTCTTCAGTCGGGAAATGCACCGGTTTGTCTGTTTGGCACAGGTGAAAATTGGGGCTGACTAAAACGTGGCTAAGAAGTACACTGTGCATGGATTTAAGTCTTACACACACAACAGACTGTGTTACCAGAACGCTAAATCTTTCACCACAGTGAAAGATGCAACACAGTTGATGGTAAAAGCATCAACTTTAGTGTAAACACGAACGTAAACGTTTCATAGAACAGGATTTTAAAAATAAGATTGGAACAAGCGGATGATAGAAAAGGTATTTGTGGTGAATTTTAACACAGTTAAAACCACAAACCGACTTACAAACGTACATACGGTCCTTCCATTTATCTGAGCTGCCCTGTTACAGTCAATTACTTGTCTTTTACAAGGCGCGACAAACATCTAAATTTAATTGTCTCCAAAACAAAAAAGCAAAGCTGGAATACCATCCTGCTACTTTGGGAGAAAAAGAGGTGATGTGGGACACGAGTGCTAGTGCGTGACTGTAATTGCGAAGCTTTATTAGATCCAGCGTCTGCCCGATCCCATCACCTCGGTGACAGCCGTGGCGTCAGAGACGCGCCTGTGGTTATTAACCTGTCCGCACGGATAACAGACAGAGGCTGAAGGTTTAATTAAAGCCTTCACCCTACACTTGTGATTCTGTGCCCATTTGCTCCTGATAAAGCAAAGCCCGTGTATGCAAGTATGTACGAGTGTGCCAAACTCACCCACTACATACAGCTGAGCCACGCGGTCTTTGATGCTGCAGCTGTTTCCGGCCACACAGGTATATTTGCCGGTGTCATCCGTAGTCACGTCCCTGATCACTAGGGAGCCATTGGGCATCGTTTGGAACCTGGAAGAAGGAGCGAGACAGAAAAACACAGAGGTCTCAGTGTCCAATCTGAATCTGATTTTATATCTGCATCATTAAAAATCATCTGATTTAAAGATAATGGCTATAATTTGTGCAATTCAGGGTCAAGAAATGCAATGCTTCAGAATACATTAATATATTTAGCTAACATTACCAAATTAGACCATCAGGGCTATGATTGGCCCAGCACAGGAAAGTGGGGAAAGCGTGTTTAAATAATAGCTTTATTTGCTCTGGCACGTTCTGACGGAGCAAATGAAACGTGAACTCTCATACTCGTTTGTTTCCAAGGTTATAATTCTATGTTAGCACAAGCTAAATCCACAACGAATGTGTGGAGATGGAGCTTTAATCAGTCGTGTCAACTGTGTAATCCTAATCCACGAAGGCTGAGCTGTGGAGAAGACAAATGTGTTTCGTTTACCTTCTGTTATTACTGATGTCCAGCGGCTTGTCTTTACCCACCCAGTGGATGTGAGGCTTGGGATCGCCCGTGGCCTGACAGTGCAGGATCGCAGTGTGACCCTGGTACACCGTCGTGTTGTCTGGTTCCACCTTGAAGCGAACGTGCACTGTTTGTACACAAAAAGCACACACACAAACACGCACAGAAACAAACAAATCATATTAATACAACACTTTAACCACATCTGGGGCGACAGCACCTCTTTTACAGCTTGTGCTGATTGTGGTCACTGTCCTCCCAGATAATCTACAACCCAAACGCAATTCATTAACCAGACTGTAAAAAGGCCACCAACTACACAATAAATGCTGCTGTGTTTGAAACTTAATGGCAATGATCAGTGACCGCCTTGCTATAAAACCACCCTCACATGCACCAAGACCACAAGTCCTCCTGATGTGGGGCTGATGACTAATACAGTAGCGTGGACCCTTTCTTTCACTACTCCCTGCTTCCATGACGATGAGACAGTGGTTTACCGGCTACGGTGAGGGTCACAAAGGCCCGGATCTCCCCCTGGAGGCTGTTGGAGGCGATGCAGGTGTAGTTGCCAGCGTCGCTTCGAGTGACTTTGGTGAAACGGAGCTGGCCGTTTTTCTGCTTGACGTGAGGCGGCAGCTCTCCTCCATCTGCAGGGGGAGCCAGAGAGACACACGGGGACAAGAGCTGGTCTGGTTATCCATGTGGGATTCAAGTGGTTAATTAGACTATTATGGCTACTGCAGATGGAGGAGGGAAGTGATCTGTGGTGATAAATCGCCCTCACGTTGTGTTTATTCTACACAAGTTGCTACATATTCTTGCGGAAATTACATTTGTCATCATAAGCATTGAAGAATTAATGCCTGCTAAAGGGTTCTGGGTGAAATATTGCTCAACAGCCATTCCTCATCAGATCTGAAGCTATAGCAAGTGGAATCAGCGGCAGCAGACCTGTTTTGGACCAGCGGATGGTGGGGGGCTCTCTTCCTTTAGCAGAGCACTGGATGGGGATCTCTTTGTCCAATTCCAAGCACTGGGAAGGCTGCGGGGTTGGGGTGAACTTTAGTTTCTCTGAAACACAAGTAAAAGCACAGCACACGTCACACACGGATGACACTAAGCTGACGCAAATCATGTTCAGACATATTTGGGAAAAATGTGTCAACAGGCACGACGAGCACACAGATCTGATGAGCGTAAAAGCTGAGATCTATCAGAGGTTGAGATCATGGCATGTCACACCTTTTATGAGATCAGATAAGAATTGATCATGGAGATACCACGTTACAAATGGAGGCTAAGCTAAAGCTGCTGTGTGTGAGTCATATTTTACATCTCTGTGGGTGTCCTGCAGGGTCCCCAGATCCACAACACAGTTATAGAAAACCACGCACACAAGCCCACAGCCATGACCACATCGCATTTATTTTTCATCTCAGCGCCGTATTGCTCATCATTCCCTCGCTCATTACACATCATCTTTATCTCCGGGAAATATCTTCAAATAGATTCGGAGCAAACAAAGGATGATCCACTGTATATACTGATCAGCTAAGTGATTCCCACGCATCTTACCGAGCACAGCGACCTTAGCATATCCCGTCAGCTGTCCACCCAGAGTTTTGGTTTGACAGCTGTACACATGTGCATCATAGACCTCCACATTGTTGATCCTGAGCGTCCCGTTAGGGAATATCTTAAACCGGATGTCCTGGTGAGACAAAAAAAAAAGACAAAAAGTTTTAGTAAAACTGTGAAGGCACAAACAGACCAGCTTTCTTCTGTATGTCGTTAAAAGAAAAAGACAGTGAGGAAAGTGAAAACCTACCTCGGGCTGAATGATGTTGCTGCTGCGGAACCAGGTGACCTCAGGTTGGAGGTTGGCTTGAGCGTGACAGTGGAGGTAACCGGGTTTACCTTCTTCTAAATGGCTGTCCTTAGGCATGTCCACCCACACTGGGGGAGCTGTGGACAAAGAGACAACTCTTCAGCTACATATCGCTGCCCTGAAGGAATATCCAATGTGTCAATCACCTAGGCTCACTGAACAGACAAAATACACATTAGCTTCTGTTAGAGGACGCAATGCTCCCAGCATTAATAAACCTACTGTAGGATACATCTGGGATTCTGGATGTATCCTACTAACATTAGCAAGCTTGCGCTCTGCCCTCTCACTTCATGCTCTACGCATCATGCTTCTTAGCTCTCAAGATCCCATCTTCCTTTTAAATGCCTGCAACACCACAGTTACAATCTAAACTTTGATCATCTCCGTGTATACATACAAACGACAAACAACCACTTTAAAAGTACTTTCTGTACTTAGTTAAAGTGAATTTAGGGTGCATTTAAAGTGGTCTTTGTAGGACTTACTGGCCACAGTGAAGGTGACCTCCTGTATCCTGCGTCCAGCCTTATTCTCGGCCACGCAGGTGTAGGTGCCCGAATCTCCCTTCTCCGTGGGACTGAAGACCAGATATTTCCCATCTTGGTGTACTCGGCCCTCTGTGGGCACCCGCTGACCTTCTCTCTCCCACCACACCACTGGCGGAGGTTTGCCACGTGGGGCGTTGCATTCTACCTGCTGCAGGCTGTTCACTGTGAAAACCTTCGACGCCCGGGGCACCATGTCTTCTATTTCTGTAGCGGGAACCAGAGAGAGCGAGCAAATGTTACGAACTGACTTAGCAATTCAAATGCTGACGCTGATTCATTAGAGGACCGCTAATAATCATCAACCTGTGCTTTAACCTTGTACGAGCCTAAGATCTAAATCAATTAATGAGAAGAAAACACATTTCTCAGCAGATGAAATAGAAGCAGAGCTGCGAGAAGAGGGAGGGCACTGAAATGAATGAGGCGGAGCCACGATGGGAGCGACTGTTTCAACTTGTCCCTAAACACTGAATTCTACTGTGACACAATCCCCTATAATGCCTGCAGGGATTAGCATCAGATTAAGTGAATTAAGGTATTTAAATGGAGCTGTGGTTCACTGGGTTAAAACTGCAGATACAGTTGTACCTTGTTAATCCAAAACCCTTGTGGGGAGAAAAGGGGCTGCTGGAGAGGGGAAGGGAAAAAAAAAGTGCCCGGGACATTGAAATGCAAAGAAATTTTAGCCCTGAGCTTATTCAAAATATTTGACGTGCGTGCACTTGCATTTCAAAAAGCTGGCTGATTAGTAAGATGAGAAGATACTACAGTCATCTTGTTGTAGTTTCAACCTCAATGAGCTGTTTTAAAGTTGTTTCAAGAGGTTATCTGGGAAGACGCGGCGCAAGGAAAGAGCCGGCTTTGTTAGTGCATGCACAATATTAAAACAGCTTCACTGTGTTTGGACTTGTATATAATTTGGTTCCTTTTAACTTCTTCTTCTTTTGCACCACCAAAGACTTTTATTTGTTGTAGTCTTAAAATGTCATTTTCACATTACACTGATTTATAACACTTTAGAAACAGTCATCTCATGCAAGGAAAGCTGCAGCGTGTTTTAATGACGTTCGGCATTTCACAACCTCCTAATTACACTGCTCATTACCCTGGTTGAGTCACACTGATGAGTTATCTAATGTAACATCTACTGCTTGAGTAAAGCGAGTGCCAGGTGCTGTTCACTTTGGAGGAAACTTGATGGGTTAAAAATGCTTGGAAAACAGCTGGACGCTTAGGGGAAACAATATGAAGGGGAAGCAGCAAAATGCTTCTGTACGGCGCGTGGTAGTGGATGCAGCTGGGCCGGATGTCAATACAGGAATGTGATTATCATCGGAGAGATCTGGGCACTAAGTGAAAGCGGCAGAAGAAGGAGGAGGAGGGAGGGGGGATTAGAGCAGGAGAGATGGAGGGCAGTGTTCATATGTAGCCCGTTCCACTCGGATTATAGGATAACAGGGGTTTCTAATTGTTTACGCTCGAGTTTTGTATGTGTGTACGTGTTTGAAATACCAGCTATGAGGAGGGAGGCCTCCAGCGTAACCTGTGATCCTCTGAGGCCGCGACCGACACATCTGTAGGTCCCCGTGTTCCTGGGCTTGACCTGGGTGATCAGCAGCGTCCCGTTGGATAGAAGGAAGACTCTGTAGAAGAAGAGAAAGAAACAATCTCTCTCAATCACTGATCCACAAACAACATTTCGCACATTCTTCGCAGAGAAAAGCACAGCGGAGAGAAGATTTCTGCACAAATACAGCCAACGAACCTCAAATCTTTCTCAGTCTGCATCTGCAAACCTTTCTTAGAGGTTTCGCTTTGACCTGCAAGTCAACTGCCCGAAAATTTGGACTTTCCATTCTAATTTGGCCCAATTCAGTAAACCCAAGCCATCTGCTGCTCTAAATCTGTAGAGGTAAATGCTAAGAATCTGTCCACGGAAAACAAAGAAACAAATGTGTCCTACATTTTGAGTTAATTAAAAAGAAAAAAAAATCTCGTGCTTCAGGAGGCCTGTCCTGACAGCTGGCCCCTGGAGTCTGTCAGGCCGATGGGAGTATCAGTGTCAGTGATGGACAGAATGAGGAGTAATTAAAGGCAGACCTTAAACCAGCTTCGGGGATGACAGAAAAGGAGCTGAGCATCCGGCACAGCAAAAACAGAAGATCCCAAGTCACTGCAGAGCTCATGGGAAAAACAAATACTCGGAGAGGAAAAAGGAAAGCCACTGCAGAATGATCTGCATTCCCTCAGAAGAGTTTTCCAAAAGCGGGGATTCATATAAGAATATCTAGTTCCACAGTGGATTCCCTCAGGAAAAGTGAGATTTCTGTGTCATCCCTTCTTCTTTGTTTAGGAGAAAGAGGGAAATGAGCTTTGGAAGCTGGTGTACATTTCCACCTGTGAGACGGAGAACTAGTCTGTGGAAACAGGCCAAAATAACTAGAAAACAAAATGAGCAAAGAGCGATTTTTAAAGGCAATCACGAGTATGGTTTCACACGTTTGACCCGTGGGGCAGAAACTGGCTGCAAAAAAATAGCCTTAAGCTCCAGATGGTGTGTGTGTGGGGTTTTTTTTTCTTGGTTTCACACATTTGGAAAAACAGTCTACACTAGTTATTCATTCATTCGCTAGGGGAGGTTATCTAAACAGCCTAAGTGCAGACACAGATGATATCACTGCAGAGAGCTGCGTAACTTAGGGACTATAATCAGCCCAGATCAATAAACTAAATCACACAAAACACCAGGCTGCTGTGGAATAACCTAGCCACAAAGAGGTTAGGCTTTCATGCTTATTACTGAGTCCTCATCACTGCCTAGGTGACCAAACCTGCCTCTGACAGGCTCATTACACAAATGACTAACTATTGATATTGGAGTCATTCACCCTGCCTAGCTCAACGAGCACAGTAATCACTTCAAAATAGAAAAGCAGGATTGTACTCTACGTGCGGAACGGGCTCATGTATAAGCATGAGGCGCTATGAAAGCTGGCATGATATATAGAAATTTATTATGAAGTCCTATTTATAAAGACGGGGGATATGCTGGTAATCTGAGTGTAGCTCGAGGGTCTTTTCCTCTCAGAGCGTGGACACTGGAGACCTGCAGACTTCTCTGATAGGTTACAGAGAATGGGTTTGTTCCAGTGATGTGCAGACTGAAGAAAATAAACTTTACCGTGCTTTTTTCCCAGTAATAACATTCCTCAATGTGCAATTTATCTTGAGCTTTGTGTTGAAACAGCACATAGAGAGGCAAGAGCCCGATGCTGGGGTTCCACCTCATCGGGCTCATAGGAATACCAATGGCTGCACACTCAGATACACAGGAATCATGCTTATATGATGGTAAGGAGAAGGAAGAGGGGTGAAAAGGGGTGGATGCAAGATGGAAGAGGAGGAATCGTAGTTAAGACGTACAGCGCTGAGCAAAAGCCTTGAGCCACATCTCATTTCTTTATATTTTACTAGAAAAGATATATAATAGGTAGAGTGGTTTAGTTAAACATACATAAGCATAAATGGAAATAAGGTATATAAGGCAAAAACAGCCCAATTTATCAAATTATCAGTCACTGTTTGGTGTGACCACCTTTATTCTTCAACAGGTCTGGGCTCTCGGGAGGCCAATCCATGACTGATAGTGTTCCAGTGCGTGTTCTTCTATCCAGGTGTGCTTTTACTGCATTGGCAGTGTGTTGGGAATCATGCTGCAAAGCCTGTACTCTCTTGTTCAGGCTTTCTTTCACCACATTTTACAGATGGTTGTAGGCACTCACGACAGCCACACTTCCACTGAGGCCATTTCTGATGAGGCGTCAGTAAACAGTAGATGGATCAACAGAAGGGCCAGATGCATTTCTCAAGTCCTGCACATGCCGGTCACTTCTTTCCTCCTTCTGTCCAGTTTCCTCAAATTCGTAAGAACACACATCAAACTGTGCTGAAATATGATTCACTTTGTTGGTGTGGAAACACTATTTTATCCCTGAAACTGTCATCATTTTTTTTCTTTGCTCGGTTATCTCTTATATATAAACACTACACTGGTTCATCCCTGGAATTAGGTGTCTTTTGTGTGCTTGAATGATTCATATGAATGTTAAGTGGCTTAAGAAACAAACCTTCCTTTGAAAATGGCCATGGACAAGGGGAAAAAAGTCAAATAGGAGCCAATGTCGAAAGAAAAATTAAAGTCTGGAGAACTATTGCTCAAGGTCACTTTAATAAATTATACCAAGGTCTTGCTCCTTGAAGGAAAAATAATAAAGAAATGAAAAGTGACTCACGACTTTTACACAATATTGTATGATGAGAAACAACAAAGTGACACAGAGGGAAAGATTTAGCACTCAACATACCTGGACTTGTTTGCCAGCAGCTCGTTTTCGTGGTACCACTCCAACGTGGGCGCCGGCTCTGCAGTGAACTGGCAGTGGAACACAGCCTCCCCGTTCCTCACTACCACCTGGTCCTCAGGAGTGACCACCGGCCGCGGGAAGCTCTTATCTGTTAGAGAGGTAGAACATCTGTATGATTACAGGCAACGGACCATCAAGTTCCATCTGCGTGGACGCTCGTGCATCACACCAAACTACTCCGGCTTTATTAAAAGCTGCCAACAGCAGCAGGAGGCTGGTGAGCCAGCAGTGTTCAGGTGGCAGTGTGTCAACACCACAGGGGCCCCTAGGACAGACTTAATGAGGTCAGAAAACAGAACCGGCAGCTTCCCTGCCTTTTCTCTCTCTCTCTTTTTTTTTTTTTTCGCTCTTACAGATCGTAGAATCACACATAAGAGATAATCTTTTTCTTTTCTGCAATGCTCCATAAACTAGTTATTCCTGGAAAACAGGGTTAGAAACAGCTCCACAGGAAAGAAGAAAAACTCAGTGCAAAATCCGCAAACCCCAGTTTTAAATTACATATTAAATCAATCACTGAGTTTTAAATGACCTGAAAAATGCTTCAGCTGCTGCATTTTTCCTTATGTTCACTTTCATTTGGCCCTTTCTACCAGCCACAAGCAGACCTCTCAGTGTTAGCAAACACTGCTCAGACCTGCCAAAACTTCAGATTAAGTCTGGTACAACCTAAAGGAGGAGTAATAGCTACACAGATTTTACTAAATTGTTACACTCCGGATGCAAAGCAGAAGGACGTCGAGTTAAAGCACACGCACTAGGAAGAGATCGGGAAAACACGTGAGTATCAGCAGAGCTGCTGAAGGAATGGTGCCAGTAGCAGTTATAGGACATTACGAGTGGTTTGAGTGAAGATAAAGAAAGGCGTGCATTCAGAGCACACCTGGCCCACCCAGGACGTCAACGGGAAGCCTCAGCCTACGATCTGAGAGCGTGCACTGAAAACCAGTTTAAATCTGTCAGCCTTTTCCTTAAGGTTAAGCCCTATAGAAGAGCAGAGGGTGGTGACACCGTAACCTGAAACTGAACAATTATCCTTTCTTTCTCAACACAGGTGCTAATCCGATGTCTCTGTGTTGCAGGTGGCTATGTGAAGCGGAACAGGGCGTCAGGTTTCTCATGCTGATTGAGTGCTGTGCTGCAAACCTTATACACGGGGGAGAAACGGAGCAAACAACACGACGAGAGCTTGTAGGAAAGAACCTACCTGTAGAATAAACTGTAGCAGAGGTAGTTGTTGTTAGACACACGGAGGAGACCCTGATGCTGAGGGAGCTGCTGTTATTGTTCTTTTAAGGCATGTTACAATACTGTTCTGTATGTGTGGGTGGTGTGGGAGGAAGTCGCTAACAGACTTAAAGGTAATCACATTACACGCACTGTAACTTTTTTCTGCTTCCTGCTTTCTCTCACCACTAATGCTCTTTAACCACACACACCTGGTCGTCTCCATTTCCAGGTGCGGAAATGTGGGAAACTCACTACATCCTGAAAACCTTTGATTAGTGACCTACAATCAATTAGTGGATCGAGTAGCACACCTGACAGCAAAGTAAAATCAATATGGTATCATCTTACAGCCCTAATGTTTCTCTATAATATATCATATGTCAGTTTTATATTCTTGCAGATCTGATATTTGTTGCACAAGGTCACACACACACCTATAATGTTAAGAGTGTAGTTGGTGTTACTGCAGACGTGCCCAGCTGCATTTTTGGCGCAGCAGTAGTACAGGCCATTATCATCCGGACTGGCATTCTTGAAGGTGAGCGTCCTCTCTTTATTGTTGATCTGATGAGTTTTCTCCGTCAGCTTCACGCCGTCCTTGAACCACTGGCATGTCGGCCTGAGAAGCAGCAGGATGAGGAAGAGAAAGAGGAAGAGAAATCGTTCTGAATACCGTCTCATAAACCTGAATTTTGATCTTGAAGTGGGAGGAGACTCACCGGGGATGTCCATCAATATCACAGCGCAACGTGACCAGCGAAGAGTTCTCCATCTCCCTGTCAGAGACGGGTTCCTTCAAAATCACACCTCCGCTCTCCAACCCTGCAGTGATAGAAGAGGCAGGAAAATCCCGTAAGTGATGGAAGGGAGCACAAGAGGACAGGGGGAACAGCTGAGGAGAGGGACAGGAGGAAAAATTGAGTTAAGTGGTCGCCCTGTCCTCATGCGACACATGACGACGCTAATGAGTGCAGCAGGGACGAGGCGAGAGCGGGGAACATCGCTGCGACAGCACTATGACTCCACATCTACCACATTAGTGGGTCAGCTTACATCAGCATACCACAGTCCTGCACTCACCACAGTAATTCAAGTCCTTGAGGCGCTTTTCAAATGAAAAGTTCATTAACTGCTAATAGCGACACTCTGCTGTCAGAGCGGCCCATGAAATAAGGCAGCAGTGAACATGTTGTGACAAAGCACCTGCTAGTTATAATTTTAGAAATCCTTCAATTGTGCGCCCATCAAAAAAAAACAGTTCTTCAAAACTAATTATGTGTGTTTACATTATTGCATCAAGGGAGAAATGAATGCCACAACAACGCGATGAAAGACAAGAAGGCTGATCGCTTGCGTCTCGGTGATAGATGAACAAAAGAACAAAGGAAGAAAAACAGATTGTGGGAAAGTGATCCGCATTAGTCCCATACATGGAAGCAGGCTTTTGCAGGCAGAAACAAAGAGCACATTAAGGATTTCGCCCAGTACACATGTGCAGATAGGGCGTCAAACCTGACATCAACAAAGCTTTCCTTCATCCTGCTCAAGTCCAAGATTCTTCAACATGTTCAGGTTGGCGAGACAGATAAAAAGTTGTTACATAGAAAGACAAAAGCTAGCTAGTGACAGCTTAGATTTAGCTGCAGTACCATCTTAGCACACCTTGCTGGAATTCCCCTTCTCCCACTGTTGACTACACAAACACTTGGTGTTTACACTGAATGAGAACAAGGGCTAATTGTTATTTACGTGACAGTATAAAGGCTGAGGTATGATGTGCAGAGACTGTGTAAACACTGCGGTTAGTGGGTGAAATCACTGAGAGAGCATGTTTGTTTCGGTTGCCCCCGATTTCTACACGAGTCCGTGGGGGTTTTGTGTATGTATGCTGTGCATGTATTAGTGTAAGACAACCCACTAACGCTGCGCCATTCCTATGGCCCTTGGCTGAACAGTGCTGCTGCAGTGTGGATCATGTATGAAATATGCATGGTATGAGCCCACCTGAGAGAGCGATGGAGAGGGAGGGAGGGAGGGAGGAAGGACGCAGCACCCCTGTGAGGTCACAAGGGGCGCTAGAGGGAAAACTGTCACAATGAATTACTCAGGAACTGGCAGTGCTGTGCAGCCTGAGGGGATCATGGGAAACCATCTCTACAGCAACAGGGCTTCCATTCTCCTTCCTTATATCCCATCTGAGCCGTGCACTGCTCATTACCTCCCTCCTACCACAGACGGCCAACAACAGTGTGTGTGTGTGGAAGCATAGCTCAGCAGTGGAGCAAGTATGTGCGTGTGTTTATACATCTGTTTGTACATGCAATGGTGTATGCGAAACACAGCTGACGATGCTCTGCCTGCGAGCCTGAGTGCATGTGTGCAAGTGTCCTCAAATATCTGACAGTTCAGCAGATGCAAATTAGTTGTGTGTCTCATTCAAGGCCATTCCAGGCAATAGCTCCACTAACTCGAGGAGGAGGAGGTAATGAAGGGCAACTGCGCTATCGAGGCCTAAGGCCCGACGCTCAGACCTGTTATTAGCGAACTGAAAGCAGAAAGCGACCCACAAAACCAGACGGGGAGACGATGAATCACTGAAGACGAGGGCGTAAGAAAAAGTTTGACGGAATAACAAGTCTTATTAGCGAGGGTGAGTACGAGTGGCAGTCAGATTAAACGTCATCTGCAAACAAAGCATTGTATCGACTCGGCCGGAGGAACAGGAGAGTGGGTTCAGTATCAGGGAGGGTGTCATCTGAATTCATGTATCAGATGCTCATTTGCATGTTCAGGAATAAAACAGCGAGCAGCACGAGAAATACCAGACGCGCTGTTTGGCTAATCAGAGCCTTCAACAGAGATTTGCAAACAACAGCAGACAACACACTCTGCCTTGTGTATCTAAAGTTTCTACCAGTCCTGACCCATTTTCTTCTGTGGCACGTTAAAACCGATTCTGGCTATCCACTTAATTTTCAGTTTGACCTGGATTTTCTTTCTTTCTTTTTAAACCAGCCTCACGTTCTTACCACTCACAGCTCCATTCACAGCTCAGGTTTCTCCAGCTGTCCGCTCGACAAACAGAAGGCACTCTTTCATAACCTATTAGTGGCAAATGCTTCCCCATAATCCCTCTCAGAATGCATGACTAAGTGTTGGAGCGGGCCTGGCGGCTAACGGCATAATTAGGAGCCTATAATTATTATGTTGGAGGCAGAACAGGAAGCGCTATCAACACGGGATGATAACGGATGAACGTGAGGATATCATCAAGACAGATGATCGGACGGCTCGTTCAGTCATCGCTCTGAAAAGCAGCTGAATGCATGTCCGTCTCTTTCACTCAGTGAGCTGATTCGTTGCCATAGAGAAGGGTTTCTGCAAAACGGCTGGGGATTTCATTTGATTGACAAAACCATATGGGGATGAAAATAACCAAAACATATGGCATAGTGTCCTCGTATTGTAAACATCGCTATAAAACCAAAAACCCCCAAAAAAACAGTGGTGTGGCAGATTCCAGGGGAAAATTGTTAACTGAGCCAGCTCGGTGTTAGACGAGGTGTCAGATTTTATCAGCTGTGGCTGACAGGGGTCAGCAGGCCAGGATGCAAACTGCAGGGGAGAGATGCTGCTGCAGCGACAAGACAGAGACAGGAGGAAGGAGGAGGAAAAATGAGACGCTGACACAGGAGCAAAGTCACTCTACAGGAGAGAAGCTGACGGATGGAGCCCGGGTCATTAAACATGAAGAGCTGCGTTTTGTCAGCTCACAAAAGACAGCAAGAAAAAAACAAAACAAAAACATCCTTCTGTAGGAACTGTGAGAAACGAAATGGGGAAAACTAGAGCTGTACTCATGGTCTGTACGGACTCTTTAAAAATGTGTCTGCTGAACAAATGTGGGTTAAGGACACATGCTGTGTGACTAAGCCAAGACGGCGTGCGCATGCCTACTCATGCGCGAGTGACTGAATAGGGAGGAAAATGTGTTTCTACTCAATCTTCTCCTCATTGCTGCGTGCTGCTGTATGACACTGACATCCAAAAACACCGTCCGTGTGTGTCTTCTGAAAGCCGTGCCTCCAGGAGCAACAAGCACGCTGACGAAAGCGACGCCTGAGCCCGGTCTCGCCATGGAGACCCAGTGACCGGGCGGGACAAAAGGGTGAAGGGGGCGCGCGGGGGGGGCTAAAACCTCTATTGGTGAAAACAAGAGGGGGGATAATTACTCTGAATAATTCTCAGCTGGCAGGACTTGCCCACCCACCATTGAAAGGAAAAATAAATTAACCCTCTCTCGTCAGTGGGGGAGGGGCGGACGAATGAACTCCAGAAATGTCCCTGATACAGTACATATGGAAAACCCCACTACCACCACCCCCTACAGTCCACATTCACTACCAAGCACGCAAAGTAGCGTACACATGAGTGAGTGCACGGTCAAGATTAATGCCAGAAGACGTCTACTTTAAAGCTGCACGAGCTTGACCGCTTGTTAAAACTGTATATGAGTGGAAATATGACAACAGCCACCATAGCGTGGTCTGATCCACTTAAAGTGAGCCGGACAGCCAAACCGCAGATAATGATGCAGAGGTAAACGTGTTGATACGCACACACAGACGTAGCATCCAAAAGTGGTTAGGGATGATTTACTATTGCAGTTTGAGCATCTGGTTGAGAAAAGTGTGCACTAAGCTCCTAAATAACATTGTTTCTTGTTCGTAGATGTTTGTTATCTGAAGCTATGCCTGAGGAATCCACTTATGTGATTTCTTATCAAGCTGACTCAGGCTATTACCATTTTTACAGGAATGGTAATGTGCGGTGCATTAATAACTTCATAACCAGCATCTCAGCTGTGTGCCGGTTTCTTAGGTTGTCTGTAAAAAGTGCCTAATATGATGCTCCAACATAAACCACCGAGAATCCATTCATTCATTGTCATCCATGCATCAAATAGAGTGAACGGGGACACCGTGGACAGGTCGCCTATCTGTCACAGGGCCAACACACAGAGATAATCACGCACACGCTCTCATTCACACCTACGGTCAATTTAAAAATCACCAAATAACTTAGCCAAATGCATGTGTTTGGACTCTAGGAGGAAGCCAGAGCGCCCGCAGAGAAACCACACAGACGCGGGTGAACATGCAAACCCGACACAGAAAGGGCCCAGACTGGATTCAAACCCAAGACCTCCTTGCTGTGAGGCAACAGTGCCGCAGACACAGCTGTGTCTCTAGTTTTTATTGACTGAACAGCGCCCCCAGTGGCAGGCAACAACAGAAAGTCAATACTCTTCTAATGACTCCTGTAACATTCTTAACTTTACATCAAAATCACATGTTTACAGACTGGTACCAACAAAGTCTGTGCCCCAATTTTTGTGAGCTAAATTCAGGTCTTTAATTGGTCCGTTGCTCAGCACTCTATGGCAGTTTAGATGTAGCTTGCTAACTTAGCTTGGCAGCATTAGCAGACAACTTAGCAGCCAGTTCTCGCATCCAAACGTACGCACAGACTTCTAGAAAAATCTATTTACAAAAGCAAACTAATGTTTATTACGATCGATGTGTGTCATGAACCGGGACCAGACTGTGCAGCGTCAGCGCTCACGTCAAAGAACGGGCACATTTGTGTGAGCCCGACTGCTATCTACACCGATCAAAAAGGTACGACCACTCTTATATAAACATTTCCACGGTTAAATGAGTTCAGCCTATTTATATTGCATGCCCTTCCTTTCAAGAAAACTATGCCTTGCTTTTCCAGTGCGTGGGAATGTTAATGGCTTGGCAGATAATGCAGTTTATTCTGCTCTGGAGAACTGGTGCTTCATGTCTAACTTGTTTCTTTTCTATTAAGTCTGTGGGAGTAAGTCGGTTGAGCTTCATTCACACACTAGATCATGTTCAATTGCAACACATGTGAGCGGTTCCCGTCAGATCGGACAGGGTTTGGGAAAAACCGATGGGCCTCTTTGGTCTTTTGGCTACAACTGCAAGCACTCAGAGAGAGACGGTGCTCGACATCACACGCCTCAAATATCCACTTGTGGAGACACATCATAGAGAGGGAGTTAAACCGCTGCTCTCTCCCTCCATCCGTCTCTCAGTTTACAACTAGGAGGTCTGGACACTCATCTGTTCTTGTAATCACCCTTTGAACAAGCACCATCACAGCAAAGACAAACCTCCAGGCTGAATGTAGCAAGAGAGGGGAACATATTCCAGATGGAATCATTTTTCGCCCGCTTTGCCTGCTTTTTTTTTCTCCTTTCCCTCTTTCTACCATCACTGAAAACTCTGTTTGTATGACACAAAGGCTTTACAGTAACAACTGGTACCTGAGGGCCTCTGACGAGACCCAAACAAGGTTGTTATTTATCCCAAACAGAGCTGTGCAGAATTTCCCAGCTTCCTCTGCTCTGAAACTTAAGCGGGTCACTGAGGTTTGGTTATGAAGCTAAATAACAAAATTAAGACACTAGCGTGCTTCCCCTTAATTTGACAACACATTTAGAAGGTGAAGATGTGAAAAGCATGACACAAATAAAAAAACTGGAGCAGACAGACCTGTGCTAATCTAAACCGAAATAATTATACTGCTTTAAGGTGAACTAGACTGTTCAGTAATTTCCTGACAAAAAGCCCTTTGAGAGTATATGAGAAAGAGAGTGTTACACAACGGAGAGGAAAGACAAGCAACAAAAAAAACACATGCTTGGTGGCGCACATATCCAGTTTCCTATAGAGAGGAGAAGCCACGAAGAATAAGGCAACAAGGTGGAAACATTCCTTCAGCTTACACTACCCCGTCATCTTATACTGCAACTTTTGTTTGGCTTTTTTGATCCAGAAACTGGATGCACACCCTTGTTGCCATTATGAAACCCTGTCAGTTGGTAATTTTCACTTAAGAGGGTTGTTTTATTTCCTCCGTCAAAGGAAGGGAAAATGGCCTGAAACTCAACACTCACACTTGATATTGAAGGAGGCGTTGTTGGAGTGGAGCGCTTCTCCTGTGGCCGTGTTTTCCGCAACGCACTCGAAGTTTCCTGCGTCCAGCCGCCGATCCACGGCGCTGAATTTGAGGTTGCTGCCCTCCTGGAAGCGCCTCTCGCTGTTCTCCAGGGGCTGGCCGTTGTGAAGCCAGCTGTATCTGATGTCGGTCGGATCGCTGACCTCGCAGCGCAGCATGGCGCTGCGGCCGTGCAAGGCATCCTGGGATTTGGGCTCCTTGGTGAACTGAATGGCAGCGGCCTGGATGGACAGAACTGGAAAGGAGGAGAAAAGGGAGAAAGAGGGGAAAGTCAGATTAGAATGGGGCTGCTGTTAACGTTTTACTGCTTTTTCCGTTCATTAAGTGTACGCCATAGCAACCACTTAGCCCTGTGGAGGAATGTGATGTTTAGACAATAATGGCTAGCTGTGAATTATTTTCTCGTAAAATCATCAGCCTCTGCGCCGGGGGAAAATACCTTCCCTGTTAGATAGACTGTGATGTGAGTGGGTGCTCTGACACTCAAACATCACACGCCCACGGTCACATGCTGTCATCGGCTCAGGAAGACGTGTCTCTTAAATTAGACGTGATGTGCTTCGCACACAAAGACACAGCCTCGCGTACACTTGAATCTTTTATTGTCCCTCGTGGTGCTGCGGACAAGATTTGTGTGTGAGACATGTTTTATGCTCTACTAATCCACGTCTCAGAGGATTATCGGTCCGTTCAGTTTTGTTTCGTGCTCTCAGTTAAACGTGAAAGTACCGTTGTAGCACAAATCACAAAAGTCTCTGCCAAACAGACGGAGGAAACAGAAGACAAAGCCGACCCACTGTTTGTATACTGTTGTGAAGCATATGTGAAATTTGGATTCATCACTTCATAAGACCTGTTTGCCTCTGATTTTTAGTCCATTTCTTTGTAATTCATCATACAACAGGCTATTCAGTGGTTTCTTCACAGCCACCCTCCCACTGACGCCATTCCTGATGTGGCTGCAGTCAACAGTAGATGGACCAACACTAAAGGGCCAGACTGATGTCTCATGTCCTGAAACAACATTACTTCCAGATGCTGCTTATCTGCTGCAGATATCTGTAAGTCACCCACTTTCCTGAAATTATTTCTTCAAATTAAGTGTTTTTGTAACATCCAGTTAGTAACAAAATGCCTAAAGATACAAACATTTGTTTAGATCTGCTACAGCTTCTTGTGTCCTCTGCTTGTCCAGCTTCCTCAATTTTTTTAAGGACATACTGCACACCATTGTTGACATATGCAGACTTTTCAGCCAATAGCTGACCAGCATTTGTCACAGATTAAACCCAAAAAAGAAAGATTAAGTGTTTTTGTAACTGCTGCTAGTAACAAAGTACCTAAAAATGTTTTTTTGCTAAGTTGATTGTTATGTACTATGTGTAGACACAAGACTTTTTGACAGTACAGTTGGTCAAGTTAAAACGAACACACTGATACTAGCACTGCAGCAATGGTCAGTATCCTACAGCTTATGTATATATAAAATATTTTATGACTTTATACAGATTCAGATCACGAAACTTGTGTCCCACAGCTGGTAGTTTCTACCCTCATTTAAACACAGTCATGCATATCCTTACCAGACTATTGTGTCTACCTCAGAGTACCAACATCATGGGAAGTATTTTTTCCTCTCATTCAATTCAGTTTTGTTTATACTGTAAATCTCGGTTCACTAATATGTTTTTTTTATGACAAACTACACTCTTTATTGTTGGCAAGTGTAAACATACAGATGACATTATCAGAGTGCACCTGATTTAAACTCAGCAGCTGCCTACTAGTTTGAACAACCACCATAATGAAACACTTATCAATAGCCATCTGCAAAGGTTGTCGAGGCAGGCCCTCATGAGCCCCGTATAACACAATGTTATCCTGCCTGTCTGGGGTTTGTTATGATAAGTAACGGTCCACCACCAGAGTTGATTAACCATACCTACACCTGTGTGACGGCGTGTGTGTCTGCCTGTGTCTGGCTAGAAAAAAAAGGTAGATCTTTCAATAAAGTTAAATCAAGGAAGATGTTGATAATGAGCCAATGAAATGCTCCCATCTTTGACCCTCTAACATGCCACCGCTCCTGTCCTGCAGGTGGTTAGCGCTGACAGGCAGGTAGGCAGGAAAAGACACAGCGAGTTAGAAAGGATGGTCAAACAAGACTTCCATTCTGGTGAGCCTGCAGTAAGGTTCAGGTCCAGTGTAAATCAGATTGCCTCATATGGCCACAAGTATTACTTACAGCATTTCAAAGAAAACAGTGTGTCAGCTTAAGTCATGGACTTTTATTTGCATCAGCAAGACCGAAATCAGAAAATTCCATCTAAATGTTACATGAAAGGTGGGCAAATAGCCTTCAATTGCTAGGAAGGTTGTGCAAAGCACGCTGGAAAATAAACTTGTCTCTCCAAGGCTCAAGCGTGCCGACTCTGACATCTCACGGCACCGCAGAAGATCAGAGAAAAGATTACTCGTAGAAATGCTAAGCAACAGCTCTCAACACTGACATCAAATAAATTGAAGCAGTACTTCTTTAAAATCCAGAGAAAAACAACTGAATATCTGAGACCATCGTATAAACCTTTTCGGTCGCCAGTAAAACCTCGGCTCTGGCTACACCTTTATCAGCTGGTTAAAATAGCTAAGAATGGAGGGCTCAATGACTGTATGCTTTAATTTTGTCATTTTCCATTTGAATAGACTCTTGTTTTTTTATTCTTCTTTGGGGAATCTATTTTTATATAGACGACTTCATCGGTTCTAGCAAAGACACCAATGGCCCGATGACTGGCTTTTACTTTATCTCGAATCAAACCTCGAATCATTCCTCCATGACCAGCTTCTGCATAATTTTCACTCAGTTTTTGATATATGATCACATCTACTTTTCAGTTTTTTCCTCGTGACTTCGTGCCAGACATAATAATCATAAGAAACCACCCTACAATACTATTAAGCAAAAAAAAAAATATTGAGCAAAAATACTTTTATTGTATTTCTTTCAGCTTCTGAAATGTATGATTTCTTCTTTTTCACTGATTAACAATTAATAATATTTTGACATAGTTAATAAATCATTTCCCACAGCCTCTGAAACGAGCTCTACCATGAAGGTTCCCCATGATTTATTGCACAAAGGGTTGTAACAACTCCTCGTCTGTATAAGCAAATGGTCTCCAGCAATTCTCCTGTGGGACTGAGAATTTGTTCCATCTGTGCAAAACTGGGATAAAAGGTAGCAGATGGGCTGGAAACACCAGCGAAGTCATCCTCGCCATCCACCTCAGACAATCTATGCTCGCAGACAGCCTTCCGCCTCCATGCCAAGCCTACAGCTGGGGTGCGAGGTAGCATGCCAGCTTCCATCACACCGAACCTCCTCTGCGCAGCAATATTACAAGCTTTGGCGGAGGCACGCGGTTGATGGTTTCATTTGAGATGCTCGCTGACAAACAGCGCGAGTTTGTGAGTTTAGAACTACGCAGACGCAAAGGGAACGACTTCCGGAAAAAGTCCCGGCAGATGCGGCGCAGACAGATAAGGCGTTTTCACATTCCACGGAGTGACAGACGTGAGAGTGAGGTGGGTAGAATGAGGCGCTCGACTCTGCCAAGTTTACTGTACTGAACAAACAGAGAAGGTGCCGTGACCTACATCTATCAAGCGCGCTCCAATCCTGCTTCTCTAAACTGCCGCAGAAGAGCAGACTTCAAGGGCACACGTGCACAAACAGTATAAACACAGTCATGCACACAAAGCATCACAACTGCCATCCCTGTTCTTGTCTTTTACCTTCACTTTACTCACTCAGGAACCCAAATTTCACTGAAGTTGTATCAGTCTGGCCAGATCGACACAGATAATTTAGGTCACGCTTTTCAGCGAGTCACAAGAGGGCTGCAGAAAAGAGGAATGCTCGGATATTCGCTGTGTGGCATTTGGGATAGATAAGCAGGGTAAATGCTATCCAAACTCAGACTGAGGGCCCTTCAAAGAGAGAGCAGTTGAAAGGGAGAGTTGCAGATAAAAGGCAAAGAGAGTGAGACTGAGGAACACAGGACGGGACTGTTCTTATGACAAAAAACATTCAACACAAAGAATGCTGCGACTAGCAATGTGCCATCAGAAGCAGTGAGAAGGAACGTCACACGGTGGCAAACCTGCAAGTAAACAACGCACCACCGTCTTTTGGTCAAGATGCAATTAGCAAAGTTTTAACAAACCAATATATCCATTAATGACGCATTAGTGTGTTATTTTGGTTTAGACCGCTCGTTTGAACAAAAAACTACATTTTATACTCAAGTTTTCATTTTAAAACTTGCTCATTAATAAAAGTTCTTTTCACTCACGAACTCTGTTCAATTTCTGAAAAATCGTTTGGGATATGTTTCCCAAAATTTGTGCAATTTCTGCACAAACAAGCCGGGATGTTTTCAACGAAATTCTTTCTCATATGAATCACACAGAAGGAAACGGTCCACTTCACACATGTTCGCCTTACTGGAAACACTCTGTGTGCTTCAGCTGAAGGAGCTGCCTGATCAGCAGCACACGTGACATTCACTCACAAACACTGGATGAATATTTGGTGCTCTGTCATCACATCGAGATCACACGTGTCACGCATTTCCGTTGCCATATGACTGGAAAACCTCGGAGTTCAGGAGCTGCAGTGTATGAGTGAAACAAATTCTGCATGTCCTAACATATGAGAAGCGTAAACAGTGTTGAAAAACTGATACCTAAAGTTTCTACTATTCAAATACTTTTTTTTAAGCTAGAAAGCCATTAAAACAGTGAAATGTCTTTCAGCCCGCATCCACAAAAATACGCCTCGGCTTCGATACCGATCAGCAGCCCAAAAAACTTGCAGCACTGTTAATATTTCACGTCAATCACAGCACATGGGTGTTTTTGACACATTTCAAAACAATTCCTCAGAATTCAACTGACGTATCTGGAAATAAGTCAGATGAGACAGAAACTGGGTTAAAAATATAGCAGGAAACTGCTGAGAGGGTGAAATATCTGCACACGGCGATTCGCCTCTTCAGCTCACTGCACTGCCGACCCCATTAAGCCTGGCACGGCTGTCATGGCTGTCAGGTGGGAGTCGCCTTTAAGTCAGCCTGACAGCCAGAACCCACCATAATAGGTTCATCTGAAACTCACCGCCTCCTTTCTTTCTGTCTCTCCCAACTTTGTTTGCTGGCACTGACAGGCAGGGCT